AAAGAACCCGCTACGATGCAAATTCTAACTCAAATCGTTTGAGTCGGGATGCAAGCATCTATACACTGGGCTTCTTGGTTGCAACAGTTCACGTTGCAAGCAGTTCACGAGGTTTCGGCCCTCACCACAAAAACGCCCCTCCCCCCTTTTTTTTCCCCTTTTTCCCCATCCCCTCCTCCATCTCACATTCTTTTATAAATTTATCTGCCTCTTGTATTGTTGTGCGTATATTATTGGGGGGGGGGGGGTGAGGGGTCATGGGGGGCGTAAGGGGGGGGGGGGGGGTGCCTGAAACCTGACACTTCTTTCATGAAACATGTTTCATTCCTCTTGTCAACGTTCGCCTTAGGGTTTTTCGCATGCGCCCCTTGTTCCCTTTATTTCCCATCGCAGTGCCAGTTTGTGATTCTCTGCTCGTCACTGCTTAGAGCGAGTCCCATACAAAGGCATCATCTCTGACGTGTACGTGTTTATAACTGCTTGCACGGCCATTTTTCTTTTGTTTTTCTTCGTCTTCTTCTTCTGCTTGTCTAGCCCCTAATGGAGCATAGGCCCTCAACCAACTCACGCCAAGTGCTATCGCATGCACCTCTCCCCATGCCCTCCCTATCTTTCTAAATTTTTTCTACAGCTCCCTTCTCCTTGGTTTTTGTGTGTGTGGGCCTTCCTCTACTCCTTTGCCCCTGTGGGTTCCAATGCAAAGACATTCTTGTTATGCTGTTCTCCGGTTTTCTCAATGTGTGTCTTATTAAATAATTTTATGTTTTATTTCCCTTACTAATCTAATTGTTCTACTTATATCATAAAGGATTCTAACATTCCAGGTGCCAATTCTGGAGGTTTTCCTATGCAAGAGGAGGTATGTCGACGATCTGGACTTCTTTCGGCTTTCTACAAACCGTGTCATAGTTCTTCTACTTGAAGAGCCTCTCCTCCTCTTGTTTGGCTGGGTTTTACTTGCTTCTCTTTTCGACTTATCCATGGTGGGTTGGTTTTTGTAGCTATTGTTTTACGGGATAAGGTAGCCAACCTCAAGACCCAATCTAACCTTAGTCGTCTCTTACGACATGCCTGGTAGGGTGCAGTGTCTCAATTCTTTGCTTCCTGTGAGGGCCCCGGTGACACACGGGCAACTGCTTGCCTCGACATTTCTCTCTTTTTTTTTTCCCACTTGTGTTGAATTCGTACCAATTTATTTTGCATCACTTTCCTCAAGAATTTGTTGTTTTTAAATGTATTTAACTATCGCTCCTTATCTTTAGAGGTTTACCAACTTTCACAGGCATATGTTGAAAATGAAACATTAGAACTGAAAATACGTAACTTAATTCTAAAACTATATAATTTAGAGTTCTTTATTTTGTTCTAGCTTTTGTAAGTAAAACGGATGTACACGCAAAACTTAGGTCCTGACACAGGGCCAAAATCCAAATGGACGAACAACCTTTCTGCCGAAGCTCGAATGTGTGTCATAATTTTTCTTCTCCTCTTCTCTTCTTCTTCACTTCCTCTTTTACCGCTGTGGGTATCGAGGGAGATATAAGGTTCTGTTTCTAGCTCTTCTGGCTGCCTCGACCATAGGCACATCGTACTATTGTAGAGTTTCTCTGATGTTATCCTTCCATCTTGTTCTTGGTCTACCCCGTGCTCTACATCCTTCTTCTCTTTCCATGTATGCTTTGTATGGTATGGTGTCACAAGGCATTCTCTCTAAGTAGGCAAACCATTTCACTTGCTGTCTTTGTATGTAATCCAGAATTGGTTCTGTGCCGACTTGTTCTCTTATGCTCTCATTCCTGATCTTATCTCTTATGGTCACTCCTACAGCCCTTCTCAGACATTTCATTTCCGTGGTTACTAATTTTCTTTTATGGTTTGTTGTGATTGACCATGTCTGGCACTGGTAGCACAAAGTTGGAATAAATATGCTTTGAATAAGATGTCTCTTTGTGCTGATTGGGATTGTCTTATGCTGTAAGAGGGGGGCTAGCTGTCCCAATACTTGGTTTACTTTACTGCATCTAATGTTAATTTCTTTATCCAATTTCCCATCTTCGGTAAATGTAGTTCCCAGATATTTAAACTCAGATGCCTGTTTAATGCCTTTGTATTCTATTGCTATGTTTAGATCTGTCTTCTTTTTTCTTATTGACATTACTTCTGTCTTTTCAGTGTTGATTCTCATATTATTTGTTTTACATTCTTCATTCATGGATGTTAGATGTTGTTGCAATTTCATGGCTGTATCTGCTATCAAGGCCTGGTAATCTGCAAAGAGTAATTCGTTGATCTTACTAAGATCTTCATTCATGGGCTTGGCATTCTTGCATATACTGTCGATGTACATAATTTGGTGGTCTTGCTCCATAATTTTTCACGAATTATAATTCACACTAATTACTTTTCTTTCTAAACCGCTTCTGATACATGATGCTGTTGATGAGCCCCGTGTCTTCCATTATCAGACTGAATATTTTACTAACAGACACGTTGAACAGATGACAAGAAGACACGGGATGATTTGCACAGAAGGATGCGACAAAAGGACACTTTAAAAGAAGTCTCGTGTCACAAGCAAAACTGACATGTAACTAACTGCCGTCAAGTGAACTTGTCAGAAAAGACGGAAGCGACAATGTTTTCTCCACTTCAAAAGCATTTACCACTAGGATATCGCTTGTTGAGAACACAATGGGGAAATAAGTCAGTTTGTTGCATGGTGACGCGTATTTTCAGGATCTTCCTAGCGAGGCAATTAAACTGTTTCCTCGCTTTCTGGGGGTTATGTTTCCTTTTTTCACGTCCTAGATGTTTAAGGGCTGTTGCTGGAGCTTCGGAGTTCAGGTGTTATTTAACGCTATCGGCAAGCGAGCAGCCACACTAAAGATAGAGACAAGGCCATTTTTGTCTTCACAGGGTTCACTAGCTTTAAAATCCGGCAGCAGTTCTGGGTTGTTCGTCAGCTTCTGGTGGTCTTGCTCCTAATCGTGAGTGTTGCTGGCACATCTGTTTTACATATCTGGATTATTTGTATGCTGGCTGTTTATTCCTTGCCTGTCCTGCAGATGAACTTCGATTTGGAAGGAAACCTCGATCTATGTAGTTTTCCAGGCCTCCAGTAAAGAGCCTGTTTCTGTGATGCCCATAAATTGAAGTAGCTAGGTCTTGACCACTTTTAGCCCTGATCATGACAGTCGGCATCTCTACATCCAGTTCGGCTGACAACGTAGTTGTTTTGGGGATTAGGGGTTGCGTGGTCTCCAGGCATGGTGTCCGCCTCGAGTGCTAGAGGTTCTGGGTTGAGCACTTATGGCTTACTACCCGTGTGCCATGATGTTGATCTGTTGTTCAAAACCTCAAAACCTCGTGTTTGGGAGATTGATGGAGATTATCATTGAAATTTTACCTCAGTGCTACGTAATCGGTAGCGGCACAGTAGATAGGAATGATGCCATGAGAATCCAGTGTAATGAAGTCGACCACTTCTATTTAAAGTACTCTTCAATAACTTGTTTATAATTAATGTTTGCTGGGAGTTTACTGTTAACAGATGTTATTATCTTTAAAACGGCGTGTAACTTTTTTTTTTTTTTTTTGTGGTAGCCAAAAAAATTAGAGGAGGTGGGGGATAGTTTGCTGTGTTCGCTAATGTGATTATCTTTAGAAAAATAGTCAACTGCTGTTTTATTTGTTTGAAATTCATTGTGATTATCCTCAGAATGGCGTGTAACTTTGTGTGTGTGTATGTGTGTGGAAAGGGGGGGGGGGGAATTCATTTGTGATTACCTTAAAGAAAGGCGTATAACTTTTGTTTTCCTTGTTGGTTTTTCATTGTGATTGCTTTTAGAAAAGCGTGTAACTTTTATGTTATTTATGGGAATTTATTTTAATTACCTTTATAACAGTGTAAGTAAGTAAAGTAACCTTCTTTACGCCTTCAGGCGTACTAGGTATATAAGGCTAGACCTAAATTTAATACACAAAGCAGCACTTGGTGGATGATATGGTCAGAATCACGCCTGCCACCTTTACTTTCCATGACTGTACATGGCATCCACTCAAGGCTGGATAGATGAAGGAGCAAAGATCGTTTTTGAAAAATGTCAGGCCCTATCAGGCCTCGAACCCATGACGTTCCAATTCGCAGTAAACGACTAGCCGCTAGTCCTCGGCCGCTGTCTAGAACAGTGTGTAACTTCTTATTTGTTAGGAAATACATTGTAATTCAACGGGACTTTATTTAGTGCACGGTGTAGCTTATATTTTGTTTTGTTGGGATTTCACATTCAGCAAATGGGCTTATTTTTAGAACAGCGTGCAACTGTTTTCAAAGTGTTGAAAATACACAGTCAACCAGCAGGTCTATATTTGGTGTATTCTAAGCAGCAGCGGGTGTTGCAGTAGCTGAAATTGTAATACTGAGACATCGGATTTAGTTAATAACAACAGTTTAAATGTGTCCGATAAAGCAACCGTAATCTTGCAACTTGGTCGTCCAGGTGTTGCCAACTATTTTAATAGGCTACCGCAGCGACTAGAAATAAACATCGAACCTCACAGTACCTGTTACATAGCCTCCACTTTCGTCTTGTCCCTGTCCGAGAACATCCGGTAATACGTGCAGCAGGAGCAGATCAAGCTTGAGCTTCATGAACTCACCGTCTGAAATTGTCTAGGAGCTCGTGGGCCGAAACAATTGTGGACGAGGGATTACTTCTACCGATGATGTGTAGACTCCTGTACATGTTTCCCTTTGGAGTTTCTTCTTAATGAACTGCCATCTGCATTTGTTTTTGTTCCGTTTTTTGTTAGCTGTCAGTTGGGCCGCCAGTTTTCTCTGTTATGATTGGCTGCGGATGTACGGAGGTTGAGGAAACTTTGATGTAGAGCGCATCCTCTGTAATGTTTTATTTTTTGTTAAGAATTTTTTGTCTGCACTGATGGCTATTTTTTTTTTTTTTTTACAGCAATGTGTGACTATGACTTTATGACCTTTTGCTATGAGTGGTGGGGCGGGTGGGTCTATGTTTACAGCTACAATGTGATATGTAAGTGGCTTGTGGTCATCGACAAGCATCAGATTACTGGTCCTGATTGAGTCATTTACTGAAGTTCTTTGCGAAGTCTGGAAGGCCTAAACTAGCTCGATGACTTACTCCATTGGAACACCATCAGTAACTCGTCTTTTTCCTTTTGAAGCACTTTAGGTCACTCAATAGAAGCTCAAGTTGTTCACTGCTGTTGATAAGTGGTTGACTTATGTTTATTGTTAAGTCTTTATCTGTCACTCGTTTACCTCGCTTGATGGCTTGCTTCTCTGTGACACCTTAAAGAGTTCAAAGTACTTCACAAGTTGTTTATTGGTCTTGGTAAGTCATTTACCTAAGTTCTTTGGCCAGTCGACCACTACCATTGGGACGTCATAAGTCACTCGATATGTCATGCAATGTCTTTTTCTTTGGGGACATCTTTAGTTACTCAAAGGTCGGATCAAATATTTCACTGGTCCTGACAAGTGAGTCATTGAATTACCTTGGTAAGTCGTCCACTATTCAGGGGGATACATTTAGTCGCTCAGCGTCTTTTTCCTTTAGAACGCCTTGTCAGTCAGGATACTGCTCAAGTTGTTCACTGATCTTGACAGGTCGGACACTTTATTTCCTTGGTAAGTTGTCTACTATCCGTCAGATACCGAAACTCACTCTATTTATTATCCTTTTGAGATATCCTAAGTCACTAAATGTACCTCTCAAGTTGTTCACTGAAGTTTGTTGGTAAGTCGACTACTATACCTGAAGTCAGACAAATTCATTCTCTTTTGGGACATCTTAAGTAGCTCAATATACTTCTCAAGTGGTTCACCGAAGTTCCTCGGTAAGTCGACCACTATTCTTGTGACACCTCTAACACTTTAAGTCGCTTAAGTCACTTCTTAGGTCTGCGACAGATTTTGGCAAATTGGTTATCGAAATGCCTTGTTAAGTTCTCCTTTGTCCTTGTGAAACCTCAAGTCTTTCTCCTTTGGGACACCTCAAGTCACTCAATATGCTGTACAAGTCTTTCACTGGCTGTCCTTGATAAATCATAAACAGGACGACTTTTACAAAACACAGGGTGACTTTTCACAAAAGAGAGGGCGACTTTCATAAAACCCTGGTGACTTTTACACACACACGAAACAGGGTGACTTTTACAAAACGCCGGGCGACAGGACAGGACAGCTTTGAGACAAAACGATTTTCACATATCACAGAGATACTTTTCACAAACAAGAAGGTACATTTTAAAAAATACATGAATACTTTCACAAAATCCAGGACGACTTTTACAAACCACCAGCGACTTTTACAGAACAGAGGAAGAATTTAATAAAATATAAGACCAGTCATCTTGAAGACTTTTCTTGTCAAGTCTTCCTTCTCTTTTGGGACACAGTAAGATACTCTGTCTTACTATATATTTTAATGCTTGTAAACTTGGTTTTCACGGTCGTTCACTGTCTTTAATACACTTTATTGCCTCTAGGTCTCTTGGTTTTACTGTACATGTCAAAGTTTGTCAACTTAGGCTTTACGGTCTTTCGCTGTCCTTGGTACACCTTAAGTCTCTCTCGGTGTTTTGCACATCTTTCACGTTTCTTACCAAGCCGTTTACTGAAATTCGTCGGTAAGTCGTCTACTAGTCTTTTGAAAACTTAACGCACTCGAGTCCTTCTCAAATCTGTCCTTGGTCTTGGCAGATCACAAGAACCACTCTACACATTTAAACAACAAACTGTCCCTTTAACCATCTGTTCATCTTACTATCAATCTAACCGTCTGTTTCACTTGTCCCTTCATTTCGCTATCCAACTGACGGTCGCCTTAGCCATCGGCCTCGCTGTGTCATAAATGATTTTTTTTTTTTTAAACCAAATTTAAAAAGGGTCTTTTGTTTCATCGATAACAAGCGTTAAATATTTTACTTCCCATTACGGAAATAATTAATTATTTACCATCCTACTTAATTACTGGTATATTGTCAATAGATTGCATACGTAGAGACGAGAATACATTTTATTTAGGTAAACCAACGATCCCAGAATGACAATGAGATCAGAAATCGCTCTACTCTTACTAATGACAGTATTTGTTAGCAGCCGGGGTTCGGACAAATGCTCAGAGCCCCAAAACCCGGGCACGTGCAGTAATTATGTCACCAAATATTTCTACGACAAAGAAAACGGACAATGTCGACGGTTTTGGTACGGTGGCTGTGGTGGCAATGCAAATCAGTTTGATTCCTTGGAATTATGTGAAAAGACATGCTCCCGTGGTAGACTACAACATGACGACACAGACAACGATGATCCTAACGAAATTCCGGAGAGTAAAATACTTTTGGGGATAACAAATGTTCATTCGCCCATCTCAGATCTCTGTCAACTACCTAGTGACAGTGGTTCTTGTCGGAACTTCACCATCAGGTGGTTTTATGATAGCAAAAAACAAGACTGTGCCAGATTCTGGTATGGAGGTTGTCACGGCAATGAAAATCGATTTGATGACAGTGAAACGTGCAAGAGACGGTGCTTCAAGGAACGTAAGTACAATTGTTAAATCATCATCATCATCCGGTCGCTGCATGCATGTATCACACAGGACTGACATTTGAATGCTCCATTAATTGATATCCTATTATTCAAATTAAATCATTTCGATATTGTGTGTGTGTGTGTGTGTGTAATCCAGAGTGGCACCTCTGGTGTTTCTGACCAATGTTTATTGTAGGGTATCTCTTAGAAATCCTAGAACCCACCAACCCCAGGCATAGTCCTTTTGTTTTATAATTGCTGATATAACAGTTGTCCAGCCGTTTCTTAATGAATTGTTTTTAAATTAATTGCTCACTTACTTTCAGAAAGTGTATTACTTTTTTTGAAACATTTCTTACTAAATCTGCTTTCAGAAAGTGTATAACTATTTATCAATCATTTCTTACTAAACTTGCTTACAGAAAGTGCAAGCACAGTTGTGCCAAAGTGGACTTTCTTTCATTGACGTTAACGAGGCTTAAGTACAGTATTGGTTACATCTTTAGGGGATTGAGCAGAGAATCACAAAAACAGGCACATGCATGGGAAACAGATGGAATGAAGAAACGAGAAAGTGTAAAAGAAACCCTTAGCAAAATCAAGTCTAATTGCTACATTAGTGATAGCGCACACAAGAGAACCCTGTCACTTAGACATACTAGATGCAGAATTAGAGATCGACCATGCAAACGATGGATAGATGGATCTGAGGTCACACACACACACACACACACACACACACTCACACACACACACACACACAAAAACCACGCACGCACATCTGTTCACACGCACGGTGGCACATACACAAATTTTGCGGCACAACCGATTCATTCTTTTGCCTCTAAAACTTGTTGCTGAAATGTAAATCATGACCAGAGAAGAAGAAATGATTGTCTGATCGTTAAGTATGATTTGCAGATCTAATTATACTTTTTCACTTACTGTTTTTCACAACGCAAAAGTAAATCATCTCTAGATATTTACTATCATGTTGTTTTGATACCTTTTTTTTTGGGGGGGGGGGAGAGGGGGGGGGACCCCCCCCCCCCCCCCCACGTTCTTTTCCAAGTATAGCCTATACTTATTAAAGAGTTGTTCATTATAATTAAAAAGAAACTATACATCAATATACTTTTATGTTTTATTGAGTGTAACTTTACAGTAAAACTTTATTTACACAAACTTGCTCAAGACGAAACTCAGTTAATATAAACAAAGTTTGGCCCAAGAGGGAAATATTAGCATTATTATATCTCCAGTTAGCATGAATGTTTTTAACACAAAATGTTGATTTTTGAGTCCTTTAGAATTTTTGTTAACAATTTTTTGCTGCATTATGTAATTGACAGAATTATACTGTGCTTACATCTTTATATCTAATTGTTCCGGTGGCGTTCTTTGCGTTCAACGGCTGTGAATTCCGGTGGAAAATTCTATTCGTGCATTCCCTTCTGGACTTCCTTTTCTAGAACCTGAGTTTTGAGTGCAGATCTGTCTCATTTTATGCAGGCTGCTGGTTCACTGCCTCTAAGGCCAGTGTCACGGACAGAAGGAAGGAAGCTCCCAATTAGTCGACTTTTACTATATGCTTTTTTTGGGTGTGGGGGGGGGGGCATTTGTTTTGGGTCTATTCTCCCCCCCCCCCCCCCCCCCGCTCCCACAATGGGACCTCGGAACCCACACGGGGAGGTCGGTAGTGTCACAGAAGGGTAAATGATCTTTTTTGTCCCATCCCACTGGGGTATCAGGAATATGGTGCAAGACTTATATTTTCATAGACCAATCGGCACTCGATGGGAGATGTGGTCAGATTGCTTTTACGTCTAATATCTCTTCACTTTCATCTGCCTTATTCTTTCTTTTTTTCTCAATATCTGATTTATGCCGCTAGGCGTCACAGTTTCATCTAGGTAGCTGAGCCAGGGCGCATTTGGTTGCTTAGTTATGCTGTGATGCTGTAGCGTCATGCTGTCACTGACTCCCTCATTCAATTGTCTTCTAGGCATCCCTCTTCCTTTTGGTTTTTTCATTCTAATGTTGTCCGGTTCTGGCTGCCGATGTTTTTTCTTTTTCAGTCTCTCTTAATTGTCGAATCATTATCTGTTTGTCTCTCAATTAATCTATCAATTAGTATTCTTCTAAATGTTCTTCTACTCTCTTAAAGTCTAAGAAGATCTCTTTTGGTCTTGTGCGCATCCTTTTTTCAAACACCGCAACTCTCTACGTTATCCATCAATTCCAGATAACCAGTCTTTGCACGCTGAAAGAATTAAGGTTAGCTGCGTATCCTTTACAGGACGTTGCAGAACCAACCCCAGCAGCCCCTGGCTGTTGTGTGGTTTCTCTAGGCAAATTTACGTCCAATAGTTTGCCATTGCTTACTGGACGGTCGGCTCCCTGATACCACTGTCGAAACCAACGCAAGGCGCATAGCCCGCAGCTGGGATCGAACCCGGCACCTCGGCATTACGAAGCGTTCAAATCGACTTAGCCACAGAGTCGACATTGAAAGAATACACTTTCTATGTTGTATAGTGTAACTTGTTCTGTGGCTGACTTGGTATTTATAGAGAGTGTTTATTACTTTTTTATTGGCCCGTTGACCTATATTGGTTGCTTGATTTGTAAGTCGCCTGGAAGATTGCATTTACAATCTTCTTCACAAAATATTAGCCCTGAAAAGACCTTGAATCTTTTGGTAATATCTTTAGAAACTTTTCCACGTGCTAAAACAGAAGCCCTATCTCCACGGGATTGACGCAGAGGTGCCCTTCCACTCTCCACCCAAGTAGTCAGTTGCTTCTCCAAGATCCTTTCAGAAACGTCACATCTGTGACTTATTAGGATGTAACCAGGTCACTCCGTCTGTTTTCCCTGCTCCGAGATGCTCCTTGAATGTTGTCAACCATGAGATTTTTTTTCTAACTGAATCTGAATGGCTACCAAATACCTCGTTCAACCTCCAGAGAAGTTATAACTGGTGTACCAGTAACAGACAACACTAGCCTGGCGTAACACTAGTGAACACAGTTTCGAAAGGTATTTGTATCAGAATGTAAGTCTATTATTTCCTATTGGCGTTCACATGCTGATTTCAAATATCAAAATGAAATTCGGTATATGGCTCTGATTTTATTTTTTTTTTTTTTTTATTTGTAATGATACATTTACATTACAGTAAAACAAATAATGTATGATTGTTTTTATTTCTGGGGTAAACGGAAAGTCTTTCCATTTGAGCATTATAAACATTGTGGTTACATACCCAATTTTAGAAGAAGAACACAAAAAAAAAAAAAAAACATTATTTAAAGTTCATTAAAAAAGCGCCTATCATTTTTCAGCGCTGTACTCGCTCTTGTTTTCAATAGATGATGTGATTCTTGTCACAGTCCAGCAGTAATTATCATGCACTGAAGGGCTTCAATTGCCTCGATATCTTGTTTCCACAGCAGCAATGTACTGGAAAAATCGTTCAGTATACTCATTAGTGAGAACCACATAGCTTGACGTAAAGAACTCAAGATGAGAATCCAGAAAATGAATTTACAAAGACATGCTGCAGCCAGAACTCTTACACTTTAAACGGATATAGTTACGAGATCTGTTGATGTTTGTTTGTTGTTGTTGTTGTTGTTGTTGTTGTTGTTGTTGTTGTTGGGGAAAATACAATCTTACTGGGGTCAACAAGTTTTGGGTTTTCAACGTTCCGTTGAGAATCGCTTTATTTATACTCTGGGGACTTTGACACACTCCGGAATGAATTGCCAACACAGTTTCATTTAAACTTGCAGGGGATTGAACTGCCATCACAGTTTCAACCCCTACACCCCAGTTATGGCCCCTGATTCTCAACAGGGGTGTATTTATTCCCCCAGCTGACACGTGCGGTCAGTCTGCTGAGTAACAACTGACCTAGCCGCATCGTGATACCAGCTAAGTGATTTTTGTATCTATGTAGTATTGTTTATTTTGTATGTGCTGATGAAGGCTCAATAGCCGCAACGTTCACGTTTTGTTTGTACTTGTTATATTGTGAAGCTTGCTAATATACTTTTCGTTCTGGTTTATATCTTTTCTTGCTATTGCCAGACTGCAGTGCCTGTCTTATTGGCTTATGTCTGATTGGCCAATGCCTATTATGCTAGGCAACTCCACTGTTGCAATTTGGAACCCAAAAAAGCTGTCACGTTTTTCTGTAAATTGAGATCTCTTGCAAGATCATTCAGTTTGGCTGTTAAGTGTGGTTTCCTTTGCTCAAAATCTGGGCAGTTGAGGCTGATGGTTCGGTGCCATCAATATCCTCTTCTTTGTCAGTGGATTGCAGCGTCCTGTGTGAACGTTTTAGACTGCTCTCGTCTGGCTCTGTGGAACTCTGAACACTCTAGTATCGTTCCTGGCCTCTACCATAAGAGTCTGCTATTTCTGCTTTTCAGTGTGTACACAAGCAGGATAGCGGTAATAGAGACAGGTGGATTGGGAGAATTGTGACTTTTCTTGACGATGTTTTAATCTACAGACAGGGGAGAAATAGAATATAAATATCTATAGATCTGCAGGCCACGCTAGACAAGGTAGGAGAGTGGTGTGATGAAACAGGTTCTACCATCAATCCGGATAAGGGAGTTTTTTTTTTTTTTTTTTATTAAATAATAGAATTGTTAGAGACGGTCTTCCGAACATCACAATAAATGGTAGTAACATAAAGAGAGAGAATTAACTAAAATATCTTGGTATAACTTTTGACAGGAGCTTGTCGTTCAAGTACAACGTGGAAGAGGTCGTGTTAATTGCGTTGAAGGTGATGGCATAAGCGGACATGGAACAAAGAATGCAGTACACTATATCAGCAGCTGATTATTTATGAGATGGAGTATGATTTGAGCCTATTCACGTTATCAAACAGCAGAAAAAAAGAAGCTGGAACAAATACAAAATGAAGCTATGTGAGTCATTTTGTGATGTACGCGGGACACGCCAATTGAATGCACGCGGCACATACTTG